GGGACTCCAGGAGGCCTGGTGGTGTGGTGATAAAGTGCTGCCGTCCACAAGGTCCATAGTGCAAACCCACAAGCTGCTCTGCGGGAGAGAGCCGTGGCCGTCTGCTTCATGACCAGCGTCGCCGAATTAGACATGCAGAGACTAAGCGTGTTCTGCCTTGGGGGCCCTCTGGGGCAGGTCTTCTCTGTTCCCTGGGGTCTTTGTGAGCTGGAACTCACAGCATGGGCTTGTCACACAAGAAGATGCAGCGAGAGGCAGAGAGAGGAAAAGCTAAAACAGGCGGGGCTGGGGCCGAGGGGCAAAAACCGGTGACTCTGGGCAAAGGGCTGGGTTTTTCCCCTGGTGCTACTTTTAATTTTGCAACTTCTCAGAAACTTGGAAATCATTTCCAAGTACAGTGTTCAATCACAGAAGCGTGTGCCTGCCCATTCATTAGCCGCTGGAATCTGACAGGCTTCAACCGGAACTCGGCCGTGGCTGGGAGCGGGTTGGGAATCAGTCCACAATTCTGCACACTCCCCTTCGGTCCCCACAGGCACCAGTGGGGCCCCCAGAACCACTGCTCAGGGCAGCACCCGCCACCTGCCTCAGTCTGGTGGGCTTCCCCTTCCTCAGGGTCCCTTGCCTGTCCATGGAGGTGCTGGCTACTGGGAAGGGTTCAGGGAAGCTTCTAGAATGGTCTCGCTGTGCTCAAATCTACACACCACGTGTGCCGGTAGCTGAAAGCCACCCCAGAGGTAGACGTTGTGCTTGGCCCCCAAAACCAAACTCACTGCCATAAAGTCAACTCCGATTCCTAGCAGCCCCATAGGTCAGGGCAGAACCGTCCACGTAGGTTTCTGAGCCCATCACTCTGTATGGGACTAGGAAGCCTCGTCTTTCTCTCGTGGAGCCGCTGGTGGTTTCAAACTGCTGACCTTGTGGTTAGTAGCCCAACACATCACTGCTATGCCACCAGGGCTCCCTTGTGCTTGGTGATGCTATCAAAAAACCACCACTGTCACTTAGAGCCAGGCTTGGTTGTTATACTTAAATACCTCTCCACCCGAAACCCATGAAAGGTCCTCAGCCTAAGGGGCTGCAAGTGGGAAGGTTTAAGAAGCCCTGCATGGTGGGGAGATGAAATATACAACCTTCCTCTCATTCTTGAATGCTCTTCCCCCACCCCCCACCCCCCAC